ATTTCTGTTCTATTTTGTTTGTTTGTGGTTATTTTTTTTTAAGATTCCACATATAAATGAAATCATGGTATTTGTCTTTCTCTGAGGAAATGTCTGGTTCTTAAAGGCAAGGAATTAGGAGACTGAGAAAAACAAAAATAAACACGAGCCATGTGCATATGGTGATTAGTGAAGAGAGATTAGCTTTTCATGGCAGTGAACAACTCTGGCAGTGCAGGCTAACCTTAATGAGCACTTGATATAGAGCAAGGTCTGTGTGAACAGAGAGAGAGAACAAATGTGAAAGACATGTCAATACCATGACCTGTCATTATAATCACTTCCTCTTGAATACATGTTCAACTCCCTCACCCTTCTCCCAGTTTCTAGTAGTAATTGCCTGACAAAACCTTAATCCTGGTTAAGTACAACTCTCCACCAATTCTGTGGCTGCAGTGTGCATTTGAAAGTGGCTGGAGAAAAACATGCAATCATGATGACTGGTTTGATTTAAATTCATGACGTTTAACCTCAAGAGAGTCCTTACTTCTGCTCGGCATTTCTACTTCATTTCCCTGGTCCAATCATTCATCTGTTCCCCTAGAGGACTTCTCATACCTCCTCTCTTCAGATCTCCACCTCTTCTCTCTCAGGTAATGACTTTGAGTCCTGTTTCTGAAAAAAATAAAAGTTCTGAGAACCGCCCTCCACCACACGTATTCCACCTACCTGCCTCTGCACCCATATATTCAGCTTTCCCTTCCTCTTATTATGGATAAACTGCCTGTGCTTTTATTTATAACAAAGCGAGTCCCTGCATTTGGTCACTGAAACTCATCTTCCCTCGGTACTCAAAGGCAGTGCAATTGTTAGTTTTTCCATCGTCAATTTTCCCATTTCTATTGGATCACTCCTCTTAGTATACAAATGCATGGTTATTTCTCTCAATCTGAAAAACAAAGCAAAATAAAGTGAAACAAAAATCTTTCTTGATCCCTTATCCCTTCCAGCTACTGCCCCATTCCCCTGTTCCCTTATTTGGCAAAACTTCTTTAAAAAAAATCTGCAGATATTGTTTCTAAGTCCTATCCTCCTCTTCTCTCTTGAACCTTCCTTAATCAGTCTTTTTTTGCCCAACTGTCCTACTGAAGATCATGAGTGATTTCATATTGCTGGTCATTTCCCAGTTTTCACCTTACTTTATCTGTTTGGTCACTCAATCATGCCTTCTCTTTGATTCTCTTTCTTTACTTGGCTTCTAGGATATCATGCTTTCTGGTTCCCTTCTACCTTACTGGCTGGCATTCCCATTCACCTTTGCTGCTTTCTCTTCATCTCCCTGTCATACCCTGGAGTAATGCCAAGGATAAGTCCTTGGACCTCTTTTTTTCCCCCCATCTTTGCCATTGGTGATCTCATATATTCTCCTGACTTTAAGTACCATCTGTACACTGACAACTTCCAAATTTATATTTATCTTTAATTTATATTTCTCTTTTGGGGCTTTCTGGACCTCTCCCTTAAACCGCAGGCTTATTTATCTGGTCCCGGTGACCCCTGTTCCAAAATCTTATTATCCCAGGCTCATTTCCTGACCACTTTTAGGTTCCTAATTAAAATATACATCAGGGCTTCCCTGGTGGCGCAGTGGTTGAGAGTCCACCTGCCGATGCAGGGGACACGGGTTCGTGCCCTGGTCCAGGAAGATCCCACATGCCGCGGAGCGGCTGGGCCCGTGAGCCATGGCCACTGAGCCTGCGCGTTCAGAGCCTGTGCTCCGCAACGGGAGAGGCCACAACAGTGAGAGGCCCGCGTACCGCAAAAAATAAACTATTGTTCGTCTGTATAGTGGATTATTCTGCAACATTAAAAAATGTGGGTAGAAAATACTTATTTTATAATTTTTTTTTACAGATTTATTTACTTTATTTTTAAAATTTTGGCTGTGTTAGGTCTTCATTGCTGCATGTGGGCGTTCTCTAGTTGTGGTGAGCAGGGGCCACTCTTCGTTGCGGTGTGCGGGCTTCTCTTTGCAGTGGCATCTCTTGTTGTGGAGCACAAGGCATGCGGCCTTCAGTAGTTGTGGCTCGTGGGCTCTAGAGCGCAGGCTCAGTAGTTGTGGCACATGAGATTAGTTGCTCCGCGGCATGTGGGATCTTCCCAGACCAGGGATCGAACCCGTGTCCCCTGCATTGGCAGGTGGATTCTTAACCACTGCACCACCAGGGAAATCCCTTTATAATACTGAGAGAAAGTAGAGTATAGAACAGTATGCATAATCCTATTTTGTTGGAAAAATTTATGTATATATGTATAAGAACAGCCCGGAAGGATATACATCAAAATATTAACACTGGTGAGATTGTGAGTCTTCTTTCTCCATTTTTTAATTATCTCTATTTCTATTTTTTTTTCTTATTTTTATCATAAACATGTATTGCTTGCATAGTCTTTTAATATATAAAAATAAATCAGCAGCAATGGTTGGTACGTATCTCACGACTGCACCTGATTGATGCCCAGTCTCCGTATCTATCCTGTTTCTAAAGCTGGGCCCCTTTCTTGTGTCTTGAACTCATGGTTCCCCTCTCCATTCACTCCTGCTGCTAGTCGAGCCCTGATTTTGTTCCCCAGTTGTGTTAACTGGGCTTCTGCCTTTTTCTGTTATTCCGGAATCCTTTTCTCAGTAACGTCTTTTGAATCCCAGGACTTCTAATACCAGGACCTAGATTTCCTGTCACTCACTAATCACCTTCCTGGGGATTGGTCCCCTGCCTCCAGGCTGGTATCAACAATCCAGTTCCTCCTACTGGACATCTTTGATTTTGACTTTCTGCCCTACTGATTTTCCTCTCCAGGTAGAGTTGCCATATCTACCTGCTGGTCAGAATAACCAGCTTCTAACCTGTGCTGGGCTGCCACTTGTTCTACTGCTGCTAATCCCTTTTAGATACCATGAGTTGCCTTCCCTCCCACCCTGACATGCCCACTGCCAGCTGCTGCATCCCAGCAATGAGCCTAGTTCCAGTTTCCTGCACTTTTCAAACTGCTCTGTGCCATCGTAGTTACCTAGGGTCCCCGCTCTACACATCTTATCTTATTAAATTTCTTCAAGTTGGTTCTTTTTTGCAGATTAAAAATACACTAAAAGAATCAACTGGTCAACATCACTAATCATTAGAGAAATGCAAATCAAAACTACAGTGAGGTATCACCTCACACCAGTCAGAATGGCCATCATGAAAAAATCTACATAAAATAAATGCTGGAGAGGGTGTGGAGAAAACGGAACCCTTTTGCACTGTCGGTGGGAATGTAAATTGATACAGCCACTATGGAGAACAGTATGGAGGTTCCTTAAAAAACTAAAAATGGAACTACCATATGACCCAGCAATCCCACTACTGGGCATATACCCTGAGAAAACCATAATTCAAAAGGAGTCATGTACCACAATGTTCATTGCAGCTCTATTTACAATAACCAGGACATGGAAGCAACCTAAGTGTCCATCGACAGATGAATAGATAAAGAAGATATGGCACATATATACAATGGAATATTATTCAGCCATAAAAAGAAACGAAATTGAGTTTTTTGTAGTGAGGTGGATGGACCTAGAGTCTGTCATACAGAGTGAAGTAAGTCAGAAAGAGAAAAACAAATACTGTATGCTAACACATATATATGGAATCTAAAAAAAAAAAAAATGGTAATGAAGAACCTAGGGGCAGGACAGGAATAAAGATACAGACATAGGGGCTTCCCTGGTGGCGCAGTGGTTGAGAGTCCGCTTGCCAATGCAAGGGACACGGGTTCGTACCCCAGTCTGGGAAGATCCCACATGCCACAGAGTGGCTGGGCCCGTGAGCCATGGCCGCTGAGCCTGCACGTCCAGAGACTGTGCTCCGCAACCGGAGAGGCCACAACAGTGAGAGGCCCGCGTACCACAAA